ATATTTTCTAACCATGCCTTTTTATGTTACCTCTACCTACTTTAGCATAGGTTGAATCTAATAAATCTACTATGCTAACAGATCATCGGAATGCCGACATCTTAAATGACAAAACCATCTAAGGCAACTCTCTTTAATATCTATCACTAGAGCTACTACAATTTTTTCATGTATATGCTCGTTTCGTCGGTGTAAAGCCACTAATCAACTTGAGCATCCTCATCTTTACAACACTTAATTTTATGCTTCTCTTTCAATGTCCAACACTCTATGCCATAAAGTATTGCAGGTCTCACCACCATCTTAAAAAAATTTCCCTTAAGTTTGAGAGGTACTTTTCTATCACACAAAAAGCCCAATGCATTCCTCCACTTCAACCATCCAACTTGAATTTTACTAATAATATCCCCATCTATTTCAACATCGCTTTGAACAATAGACTTGAGACATCTAAAATGTATAATCTTTTTAATGACTTTATCACCAATGTCATAATCCCACTACGAGATTTAATACTACTAAAATTATACTCCATATATTTAATTTTAGATTTACTCAAACAAAAATATTTCGACTCTAAAGTTGACCTCCATAATTAAATTTTTCTTTCAACTCCCTTTCTAGTCTCATCAATCAGAAGAATATCATCAGCAAAAGGCATACACCAGGGTACATCCTCTTGCAAATGTCTAGTAAGAACATCCATAACTAAAGAACAAAGATATGGGTATTGATCTGAACCTTGATGTAATCCAATTGAAATAGAAAATTACTTGGTTAAACCATCTTGTATTTGAACACCAGTAATAACTCCTGTATACATATTCTTAATGACTTAAATATAAGCATTACTAACTCCTTTCTCTTCTAGAACTCTCAGAGCACTTATATTGGAACTTTATCATATATCTTCTCTAAATCAATAAATATATGTAGATCCTCCTTGTTCTCATTACTTCTTCATCAAAACATCTCCAACTTCGATTTTATTAATACGAAGAAAAAAACAAAATCTATATTTTCATTTAGGATACTAAAGTCACAACAGTCAATCATATTCTCAGCAATCTTTATTTAGAGATCATGATACTCATGTTGATAAAATGTTGGTATAAAAATACCAAGTGATTGACATCTCGCATTGGCTTAAGCTTTTGGATTAAATATGAGTTTAGCAATTGAAGCATCATGCCCAATTTTGACCACTTTGGTCCATTCTCCCTAAGACATAGCTCATCTACCAAATGCATACTCCCTTTATTGGGGAATATGATGAATGATCAACATTAGGGCATTCAACAGGAAAAGAATCAAGCTCCGTAGCAATGAGTACCCTCGCATGGCATCACGTTCTCCATAAACTCTCAGAACAGAACTAAATATGATAACTTATTACAATTCATATTACTATCGAAATGGACCAGTGAGTTATCAATGATTTTGTTTTTTTATCGATTACCCTCTAATTAACGTATATATTGAAATAGATAGACCAGAACAAAAGAGGGTTTCTGCTTACCACGAAACCGGACGATCGTTGGAAGTGTTGAGAAGCGGCGGCTGCGACCAGGGCAGTGGAATGAGGTCGCGTTGATAGCTTCAGCCGACGGGAGGAAGTTTCCGGATAAAGAAGCGGCGTTCGAAAGGGAAGAAGAAGAGTAAGGCGAAGGAGAGCATCGGCCATCAAAAAGAAAAAGAAACCTCTCGGACTTAGTAGAGCAGATTCCCAATGTGAGGTTAACAACTGCTAGTTCTCAGCGATGTATAAGCTTGAAATAAGCGGGAGAAAGGAGATGAATGCGACCGGCCCTCTCAATCCCTCACTTAATCTCTCTTGTCTTCCTCGCTTGTTGTTTTTCTTTAGAGCCCGCTGGGTTCGCGTTGCGGTGGAGGAGAAATTGTTCTGTGTGGAATTCGATCACATATATGTGTTAGATTGCTTGGGTTAAAAAGTCAATTGACTTGCGTAAACCTCGTAAATCAGATCCGTCTTTCAGCCCGACCCGGGAGATAACGTTAAATTTAAGGGAGATTTACATACATACCACTTTATACTACTCTATTTACATATTTAACACTTAAAACTTTAATATTACATACATACCATCCTTAGTTCATTTTCATATCAAATATGAGTGGTAGAAATGAAATATATGAGTGATAGGAAAGAAATATGAGTGGTATATTTGATATGAAAATAATATATGGTGGTATGCATGTAATATTAAAGTTTTAGGTGTTTGGCGCTTATTTTTTCAGAATTTAAGGCGCGAATCACCGCAATATATAATGCTTAGAGTCAAAATTTTCGCAGAGCAGTCAAAATTTTCGCATAAAAAATGCTGATGAAGATGGAGATTGATCTGGATCTGGAGGAGGATGCAGGTTTTTATGAGCAGACAATATTTTCGCAGGTCTCGGAGGAAGCCGATAACCTGGAGAATGCCGACGTCCAGGAAACAAGTGAACATGAAGCAGAACACGTAGAACCAGTGATACTAGACGAAAAGTTCAGCTTATTGGTAAACTTCGCCTTCTAAAAGTTTTTTTTATAGCAATATTGCAATCAAATTTCTTTACATAGTCATTTTTCTGATGTAATTATTTTAGGGTACAAATATTTTAGATGTTCCCTTCTTGATGTAATTATTATCAACAATGTACATAATGTTAAATTGTAATTGATTTTAGAAGCAAGACTCGATATTCCCTTCCTTTATAGTATTATTGAGCTAGGGTACAATAACGAATTTGTAGTTCGATTTTCTTATCGCAAAGCTTTGTTGCGTATTAATTGCGTATGTATTGCTTGTCTGTTTGATATACATTGCGTATTATGTGCGTATTGAATTGGTATACATCGCGTATTAATTGCGCATATGTTGTGATTTTATTGCGTATTGGTTGCGTATTGGTTGGGTATTGCTTTGCTTAATTATTGCTTATTGGTTGCGTATTGTATAATTCATTTATTGCTTATTTATCAGGATGTTTATGTTAATGAGAAAGAGGCATACGAGGCTTATCATAAGTATGGATATAATCTTGGTTTTAGTGTTCGTAAGGATTATCACAGTTACTGGCCCAATTCCATAAATTTAAAATCCAAGGACTTTATTTGTTCAAAAGCTGGTTTCAAGAAGTTGCCTGATCTTAATATCCAAAGGAAATATTGAAAATCAGATACCTGAACTGGTTGTTCTTAAAGCAATGACAGATGCTGGGATAAGAACCACTGATGCATTTTCCTTCATTGCTAATGAAGTTGGAGGTGTCAAAAATATTGGATTCACAAGGAGTGATGCGTACAACTTTATTCAAAGAATAAAAAGAGCAAAGATTGAACTTGGGGACACTAATACTTTGATTGAGTTATTTAAAGAACGTCAACTTAATGATAACATGTTCTCTTGGGATGTCCAGAA